CGAATTATTTAAACTATTAGTCCGCCGAAACAAGACAGGTATCTCGTCAATTCATGATAACTTAATTTTTGTTTTAATTTATCGACAAACTATGGTGGTATATTTATGCCATTACATAACTCTTTGTTAACAAAGCATATATCATGCCAAGACAAGATATCTACCTCAAAAAGTCGTGATAACTTTCTGCTTTGTCGACAAACATTTAATTTATAATGGTGGCATGTTTATGCCATCCACATAATTTTTTGTTACCACAGCATATCATGTGAAATCAAGATAACTCAAACCAGAAAGTTATGACTTGACGAGATAGTATCTTGATTTGACATGATATGCTATGTTAACAAAACCTTAACTTGCAGTTTTGAGTGGATGGCACCATAAATTTCTGTTTAGCGGACTTAAACTTTAAATTTTGGTAATAGTTTGAAAATCATACAACCGTTAAATTACTGTTATTTAAAAAGTTGGTTTAAGGTCTAAAATAATATGGAGTCTAATTCATTTAATATATTGGTATATGAATTGAACTTCATTACCAGATATGTCATTTTGTGTCCCTTGAGGTACGACTGAAATGTTGGTTCGATTCATTGTTTAATAATTTTTTTAACATCGAGTCGACAGTAAGCCAAATTTTGGCAGGTTAAAAGAAACCTAAGATGTTGCACCTTTAAAAAATACCTAAGTTCTGATTTCCCAAGTTGTCGCGTTTTTTTCTGGTTACAACAATGGTTCAATAATCAATCAGATGGAATGTTTGAAAAGCGATTTGCAAACAGATGTATTAATTAATGGATATACGTGTTGTAACTGGACTTTTAAGTAATTTAATAAAGATTTGTATTTTGTTTTGCAATACCGAGTGGCTTGTTTGATTTCATTTTCAATTCTTTGGTTTTTAATAGGGATAGAGGAAAAATATTGTTGGTAGGAGAGAAAAATAATTATTTCATTAATTATAAGTTTGAGACAGAGTGAATTTGCAAATTATTTTAAACAAATTATTATCGTGAATTAGTTTATTACGAAGGAAATGCTGTTTCATTTTGTTTCATGTAATCTGTTGATCAATTATGGTTTGATCATGTTATATATTTCTTTGGGGGGGGGGGTTATCCTTGTGTTCTTTTAGTTCCTATGCAGCAGTCAGTGCTGAAAGGTATATTTCCGGCGACAATAAATTTTAGATTTTGGTGCTCTACGTATGAACAATTTCTAAAACGAGGTAAATTATTGAGAAACAAGTTGATGAAACAAGAATATCAGCAGTCTCGATTGAAGTCATCTTTTCGAAAGTTCTATGGTCGATACAATGACCTTGTCAGCAAGTGCAATTTATCATTGTATTAAATGCTGACTGACGTTTTTCATACTAATTGTTTATCCATTATTAATAACTTCAATTGACGACGGTTTTTCCGTTATTTCCTGATGCTGACAGGAGCACACAGCGGATGTGACCGCTCGGCAGGGGAGGGGGGGGCTCGATCCTCCATGGCACCTGATCCCATATCTGATGTTTTGGAGGTACGTGTTTGCTCTGCTCCTGTTTTGTATTGTTTTATGGACTTTTTGCTCTTGAATAATGTTCGTTATCTCCATATTATCAGGGATTTCGTAATAATAAATTATTTTATGTCTAATGTTAAGGTCAATTTAATACATGTTTATTGCTGTTTTACAAGTAAAGAAAGAAAACTTTACATCAGTGTCATTGCTACTGAACCATTTGAGGAAGTTCATAATATAATTGATGAAACTCAAAACTGCAAGTTAAGGATATATTTTTATGTCAAATTGAATACCCAAAATACAGGCAACTGATAGTTAAATCAATTAAATAAAAAATCAATGTTATATTTGTCTCCCGCTTTTGCGGAAAACCAGGGATATCAATTTTGGCTCTGTCTGTCGTCCCTTTTGTAAATGTAAATTTTTAATTCGGGTTTTTCCGTGCACCTCCTTCGTACACTTACACTTCTATTCACAGTTTTTGTTCATAAATTGTTTATACAGGTAATTTCAACCAGAAACATAGTTTTTTGGACGTTTTCATGTATTTTTACATGCTATTTTATTATGTATCACAAGCATCAACTTTCAATTTAAAATGAATGGTTTTAAAGAAAAGAGAACACTTAAAGGGGCTTGGGCACAATTTTAGAGTTCATATTTTTTTCCAAAATTTTCGGTATAATATCTAAATTTCAAAATTGCTAAAGCATTTAACTTCAATGACACTGATATTTTATGAAAGCGTGATAAGAAACTTCCTTTATATAGAATTCAGATTTCGGTACGCGTTTGTTAACACTCACTCTTGCACCTTCTCAAAGCTAAATCTATGTTTTATATCTTAAAAAAGTAGACTTGTTTATTAATTTTTAAATGTTAAAACTTTAATCCAGCAAACTCGTATTGGGCAGGTGAGGAAGTGAATTTGTCGGATCCAGTTTGATGAAGCAATTGAACTCTCCCGGTAAAACGTTAACAAATAACAATAGAGTACTAGTTTGTAACAGTGGCACATTGAAGTAAAACTTCTGATAGCAAGGAACAAGGTTTTAACCATTGAGATCTGAGATTTGTTGTAATAAGAGTTTCTACTTAACATTGATGTCTGAAAGGGGAAACAGTGTCTTGATCATTTTTTAGGTCACCTGAGTAAAGTATTGCTATTTGTTTTCGTCCGTCGTGCGACGTGTTAAATTTGAACATTTTCAGCTTCTTCTCTGAAACCGCTCATCCAATTTTGGTACAAAACATCTATGGATGAAGGGGAACAAAATTTGTGAATTTTATGGTCCCTTGGTCCTGAGGGGCGGGGCCAAAACCGATAAAATTAATGCAATCTCTAAAAATCTTCTTCTTTACTCCTGGACATCAAGCAGTCAAACTGTTGGTATGATTCTAATCAGCAAGGAGTCCTCTACCAAAATTGTGAAATTCATTGCTCCAGGATCGGGGAGTTCTAGTGCTAGGGCGGGGCTATATAGATTATTCAATGAAAATGCATAAATTCTTTGAAATTCTTCTCTGCTCATCTGCATTAAGTAAACTATCCAAGCATAGATATGTTGAATAAGGCTGCCTCTTCCAAAATTGTGAATTTCATGGCCTCAGGGTCATGGGTTCTAGTGCTAGGGCGGGGCTATATAGATTATATTGTGACAATAAATCATTTCTTTAAAGATCTTCTTTTCTGCGCCTGGGTATTAAACCAATGAACTATGAACATAGTTATGAGGAGGAAGGATGCCTCTTTGAGATTTGTAAATTTCAGGGCTTCTTGTGTTAGGGCGGGATTCTAATGTTCATAATAATGAAAATGCATGAATTCTTCGAAAACCTTTTCCTTTGGCCCTGGGTATTATGCCAATGATCTAAGTACATATTTAAGCTGCCTCTTCCAAAATAGTTAAGTTCCGGTCCCCTGGGTCAGAGGTATCTGGAGGGGGAGGGTATATCGTCTGAATATAAATTAATGCTTTGAAATTTGCACTTTGATATTAATCAACAATTTATGATGAAATAAAATTCATGATAAAATTTCAAAAATTTTAAAAAATATTTTGCCCCAGGGTCAGTGGTTCCTGTGGGGTGGGGTGTACAAGTGGTTACAAAGTGGAAATGCATTTTCTCTGTGCTGCTCTGATCTACTATTAACTACCCAAAGTAACCATGTTAAGTGTTTAATTATAATAAGCAATGGTGCCTCTTTCAAAATTGTGAATTTCATGACCTCTGGTTTAAAATACGAATCAAATTCAATTGTTTGAAAGTTGTTACGGGATTCTCAGGTGACCTATAAGGCCCATGGGCCCCCTTTTTTTCGAGATTTTATTTCTCTCAAAAAGGTTTGTTCCTCTCAATTTCAAAAATGAGAACTTGATTTAAACACTCTACTTACAAACTTACAAACTGAATATGATTTCTTAGTATCTGATGCTATAGGCATTCTACACGTCTTGTTCCCCCATCTTTAATTAAAGAGGAAATAAATTCACGGACAAAGTACTCGAGATAGCCATGTTTGTTAGTTTGTAACGGGTGAATAATCCTGGATTTTAAGTGCAGATTGATTTGTTGTTTCGCATTATCGAATTTATTAAATGGAGCAAATATATATGTAAGGTCGAAAGTTCTTCCTCTTGAATGAAATTAATTGGGAAATTGGCCCTTTATTAAACATGTCTATCGATTGTTCTTCTGCTTCATAAAAACATAGTGCATTAGTTTTCACTGGCCCATCGCTGTAGATTACATTGTAAGTCGCCCATCTGTCGATCATTACAAAATTAAAAGACAATGCCTTGAAATTCCATTTAAACAAATATACACAAAGGTCGAAAAAGATCATATCGATAACAAAGATCGTGAGAAGTGAAAAACGGCACACTCGTTTTGATATAAAAAAAAGTATTAATCTCGGATCGTATCAATAATGTAAATATACTATGGATTTACTTTATTTACGTACCAGTTCAATGTTTGTGGTAAACATTTTTTTGTTTTGTAGGTACCTTTATATACATATCAAATGAACTGATACACTGGAAAGTTTATCGTTCAGTGATGTCAAATGTGTGTGTATGCGTAATCAACCAATATTGGTCCACGAAGGACATGTTATGCCACAGTAACGTCATATACACATGTAGAGAAAGAGAATGCAGAGATCAATTATTTTATAGTCTTTGGACGTCCTTTCTATTTCAATTTGTGGAAATTCCATGATAAAAACTTTAAATTATTTCATTGGTTGAAATTCTAGGAAGATCCATTTTCTGGTAATCTGTTTTTGAACGACTTAACAATTAAATTCAAAATTTAAAATTCGACAAAACGAACAGAAAAAATGACAAAGATTGAAATTAAATAATTTTTTTCAATTTTGTGGTGATTAAACAATTACATTCCAGGAGAGACAAGCGTTTCAAGTTTCAAACATTGTTTGTGCAATACTAGATCGACTTTTAGAACCGGATACATACCATTGTTGAATCTCCGGAGGAGTCCAAGCTCAGTATGTATAATTGTACAGTATCTAAGACTGAACCTTCGCCTGAAATTAAGAGAGAAAATGAACTCGGGCTTAAAATATTAAACATTTAATGTCGGATCTAATTTTGGAAAGGACAAAAACTCACCTACAGCATCTGTGGGAGAAACTCTTTTATCATAATGACTCAATAAATCGTCTATGATTTTCTGCCTGATGAGTACAAAAATGACGCATCATTATACGAAATTTAACTTGACATGTAAAGTACATGTTAAAGTAAGAACTTCATGCAAATTAAAAAATGATATACAAGTATAGGAATAAAAACAAGTAACATACTCTTTTCCTCCAAACTCCGTGCTACAAAACAAAACAGGGTTTAAAAAATGTAATCATACAATTCAAAACAAATCTTCGCATTTCTGTAAATAGTTACCATAGCTGAATTTATTTACCTTTTTGTATAATTCAAAAGTTGCAAATCACCATTATGAAAAAATAATGGAAGCACTACGCAGTACAAGACCAGCATCTTCTATTACGCCACTCTAAAATGCAAAATCAATGTCTTCTCACAATTAAATGTATAACAGATAATTGTAAATGAGTCCATTTCCAACCACAGTGAGGGATCTATCAAAACAATAATATAATGTTCAATATCCCAGTTACAATCTATATGCAGCTACAATGATACGTCATCTATTTATCATAATAATGATTTTTCTTCACTTAGGGTTATTTAAATTTTGATTGGAAAACAAGAATAACATATATTTCTTTGCGTATACAAGAATAAAACAAATACAATAATGTCAGGAGACATAGTATTGAACTTTTTAATTGAACCATTTATTAATGAATAATTTTCCGTCCATTAAGTTCATCAATAAAGCCCTCTTTAAAGAAATGTTTAGTTTCCATTTCCCGACCAACTGGGTAAAAGTAGTTAAAACTTCTCCCGGAAGCAATTATTTTTCATGCAGTCTGAAAAATAGATTTTTAAAATTCAGCATCGAAATATTCTGGAAAAGAATTAATTCCAACCTACGGACATAATTTTTTTTTCATCCTGTGTCGGGAAAGGGCAAACAAATATTTTAAATTTGCCATGTACCACAATATTACATTGATGCTTTTTGGAATATTTTAAAAATTTATTTCCTTATTTATACGAGAGAGCTAAAAAAATAATACGAGAAAATTTCATATCTGGATGATCCTCAAGACTTTAACGGAAGGTTTCAGAGGCAAGATACCCTGTAACAGTTCTTGAGGTACGGGAACATTTGCCTAGGAGGAGCATTCGTCCCCTGTCGAACGGTCACACAAGTCATGGGCCCTTATTTTAGATCACGTGGACAGAATTAAAATTATTCCGTTAACAAATCTATTAAAGATACATAGGCCTTACAGTTTTAGTACATCATGTCAACCAAAAGAAAACCTACTAGTAATAGGTTATATTTGCTACAACTGTCATGGAAATATTACAAAACATCACTGTTTTGTTAGCTAATATTTTGTTCTAATAAATCACAAATCATTAGAGGTGACAGGTCTACGGGGGACGATTTCTCCTCTGATGCACCTGGACTAATCTCTGATGATTTTGAGGTCCGTGTTTGCTCTGCTTCAAATTCGTATATGCTAAATTATTGTCCAGTTTGATTACCCTCCAATTTCTTCTTAATTTCTGCATTTTCGTAATTATAGTCATCTGAAAAATCTGTATTTTTGTCCATTTGTATTTGATACGATTAATTATACATACACTAGTAACTAGAAATTAACAAATACAATGAGGTGAAAATTTTTTTTTACAAGATGTATTCCTCAAAGAGTAAGAGCATGAAACAACTTAAATGATAAATTTTTAAAAACAATTTTTTGGGGAATTTTTCTTTGTCAAATGATAGTTTATCATATCTTAAAAATAAGTTATAACTGGTGGTTAATTTGTTGACCCCCAAGCCTCCTTATTAATTTTACTATGCAAATAGTAGCCATTTTATTAATTTTATATTAAGAAATTCGCGTTTTGAAAGAGCTGCTTAAATTCAATTCGATCAATATGCTTTTATGTCATAAAATCGACGCCTTTGCAAATATCAAATTCTTACTCACCAAAACACGACAATCATCCAGCAGAAACAAAGTAGGGTGTATACTTTCACATTAAATATTCACAATTTCACATCATGGAAACCAAGCTGCAGCGAACATCGATATATTTATAATGATTTGGCAAAAATGTTCATAGTCAACCATGCAAAAAGATATATCACGATATTTGGGGACTTGTATTACATGTCAGTGATAATTTACCGAAGTGATGGAGTCACTAATACATGTCAAACATGATCTTAAGACAAAATTAATTTAACAAAAGCAGCTAATGTTTATATAATTATATCGTTGTTATTTAAATAAGCAGTACCCAAAATACATTAGAGAATTAATCCTCTGATTACACTGTAGTTCTGATGGCTTTTACTTAATTAAGTAAAGCGGAGGTGTCTATAGATTAAAATTTAATAACGGTTAAGGCGTCCTAAAATTTCGATCATTAAAAAAGTAAAGATAACGCAGTCAGATCAAAAAAGTAAAGCAAAAGAAATGTGCGCATAGATTATAGTAGACCCCGTGAAATTTCGTAGCTAGGATTACGTGCTTAGAATGAGAAATCTTCCCCGAGAAACATCAAACAAACAGAAAACTTAACTACATATTTTTCTAAGTAAACTAAATTATAATTGATCGACCTCTTGAAGCACTATATTGTTCTTTAGAATGTTGATGGCACCATTGACAGTTGGGAGTGTTGTTAGAAATGGCATATATACAAGCAAGTAAATAATTCTACATTAAGTTGCTGCAAATTAAACGAATAAGTTTGGTTATCATTGATTGACCTAATTCTTTTATTTAAAGCAAGGCCCCCTTTTCTTCTGTCATAAGTTTTAGATTACAGCGGTCTATTAACTTCACAAGGCATTAATATTTTAACGGCTTTTATCAACATACTTTTTACTCTGTCGATAATATTGTTGTAAAACAAAAAAGATTTGTCATGATCATTTGATATATAATACGAATATATATCACCCAGGAAGTGCCAATTTTTAATAATTGATGGTACTAAAAGCCTTTTTTGTGAGAGAGTTTCTCATAAAAGTAATCAGTTATGAATCTGTTCTTTGGGATATTCGGTTCACTCTTATATTTTGATTGATTGCTAGATTTCAACATAAAGTCAATAACTGTACAATGTGTTAATTAATATATTTTATGGAATTTTTTCATCTTCCGATCTGTTTTTCAGTGAGAAGGCCGTTAAGAAATTATCGATACAATGACCTCGTCAACAGATACAATCTATCAATAAGCCAAATGCTGATTGACCTTTTTCATATTGATTGATGGGCCATTATTTACACACTGAATATTCTACGGATTTTTTCTGGGTTTTTTTCCCGAACAAGACAATTAGCACACGGCGGGCGTGACGGTCAGCAGAGAATGCTTTCACGTACATGGCACCTGATCCCACGTTTGATGTTTTAGAGGTCCGTGTTTCTCTGTTCCTGTTTTGTGATGTTAAATGGACTGCTGAGCTCGTATATACCCACATACTAGCATTCCATTCTATCATTTCGTTGTTTGTTCCTCAATTTGGGTCACCTGAGTGGTGACCTATTCCTTTCTATTTCCGTCCGTCATTTGTTAACATTTAAACATTTCAACTTCTCTGAAACCACTGAACCAATTTCAACTAATTTTGGCATAGACTATCTATGGGTGAAGTGGAGTAAATATTGCCTATTTGATTATTGTTTGATTGCACTTTCACAAATTTTAATTTTATTCTTTACACTTAAGTTAAGTGACAATCTTGTGTATCAATGAAAAATATTAAAAAACATATTTTGAAATATTAAAACTTTGTGAAACTGCAAGGATGTGTCAATGATACCCATCAAAAAATTTAAGTTTCAATAACTTTTAGATGAAATGATTCTAAATATAGTTTCGTATGAAATGCTAAATTACAATATATAAGTCATGATATTATACAGAAAATATTAACTTCAAATTTGTGTTTTTGCACCTTTAAATCTCAAACTGGATTAATTTGTTTGAAAATTGTTACATGATACTCAGGTGATCTATAAGGCCCGTAGGATTCTTGTTAAAACACGTTTAGGTGAAAGTAGGCTTATACATACGTACTTAATCATACTATTAGAGATTGTTCTATCTGACGTATCCGTATCCGTATCCGTATCGAGGTATGAGAGGCATCTCGATCCCGATGTCTAAACCATCTGGTTACATTTCCATCGTTTCAAGTTTGGTTTTTAACCTTATTCACTAAGAAATTATATGTAGTGTGATTTTTTTTTAATAAAAACATATAAGTTGCTGTTCACGTCTTATGCATCATGTCTCTTTGGGTGGAGGTTTGAATAAAAGTTTAGAAATAAAATTAGAAAAACAGGTATGATTTTTTTTTAATTTAAATATGTAGAAAATATTTCTAGATCGACCCCTCTCTCTCTCTCTCTCTCAATTTTAGGGCATTCATTCTTCATTCTTGAAATAACATTTATAAGAACACGACATATTCCCAAGAATATAGAATTATATATACAGTTAAACCTCTTTATCTCAAACTTGTAAATTGTAAGTACATGTAGTTGTACATTAACTGGGAAAGATTTAATCAAAGTGCAAAAAAAATGTGTATGGGGGATTCACTGAAAATGTCCATCCTCACTTCCTTTTTTATCATGTACTATGCCATTCATTATCACGTATTTGATAGTCATAGTTCTCCAGAAAAACTTTGGATATCTGGAAATTCTGGGGCAGTTTGAATACACTCACTTAATTCTAGGTCGATAACCGTATCATGGGCGTCGGAAAGAAATAGAACGGGGAGCTGGTTGAAAGGGGTGCTAAACCAACAAAAAAGGGTAAGAAGAAAATAAATGTTAAGCTATGATGTATCTTCCTCTCTTAAACTATTCTTTTTGCATATTAACTTCTTTTCATGAAAGTTACATGATGGAGTTTTTAGTAAACAAAGCAAGCTCTGAAAAACTCACCCTTAAATACTATTGTGTGTGTGTGGGAGGGGGGAGGGGGGGCAGATGGCTTATCGCCCCCCCCCCACTTTATTTGCAAAGATGGACATAATATATATTAAGGCGTAGGATAAGCCCCTTCCCCACTCTCAACAGGCATGTTGTATTGCAGTTAACATAGGCGTCGGAACCGGGGGGGGGGGGGGGGGGGCTAGGCGTAGCCCCCCCCCCCCACTTTTTTAATCAAAAGATAGACTTAATATAGACATTGAACATCGCTGCATAGGTTAAGCCCCCTCCCCCCACTTTCCACAAACACGTTTTAGTTTAGGTTAAATTATTGTGGAAAGTGGTGTTGTTTGGAAAAAATTTGCTAGTGAAACGAACCCCCCCCCCCTCGAAATAGGATTTTCGTGTTTAGATGGACATTTTTTTTTTTTTTGAAGGAATAACAAAAATATTTCTAATATACCCCCCCCATTTACAAATTACAATTTGCTGCCGATGCCAATGGTTAAAGTAGGGTAAGTGGGAGTGTTTGAAAAAAAAATGGTAATGAAAAAAGTTCGACCCCCCCCCCCCCCCCCCCACACACACACTCACACACACAAAAATATTTAAGGATTTTGGACAATGAACAAAAAAATCCTTTTTTATGCTTTTTCAGGGCTGAATTTTCTCTCATTCAATTAGCCCCACTTCCTACTTTCAATTTCCTTCCGACGCCAATGTGAGGGGAGGTGAAAAAGAGGGAGTTGAACTGGCTATTCAAAGCATATACTCAGAACTTGTAACGGTCCTGACGCGAATTATGAAATCAATTCGAAAACTCTCTCTAAAAACGGCTACATAGTTTTAATGATCGAATGATGATAAGGTATTTTGTATTTCAGTGTGTGTGTGTGGGGGGGGGGGGATATCTGTTATGTTATCAGTTACGTGTAATGGTATAGTGTAAAATACAGAATGAATCAATAAAATATCCTGATATTATGAGAGAGGAAAAGGAGAAAGGGGATTTTTCAACAAATATTTGGAAACAAAATGAAATTAATTTTAAACTTGGTTTCATTTTCTTTTTTTTTTTAATCAATCTTTTTCTTCGAAATGATAGAGGTTTACAGCAGTTAAGTATTTTTATAGAAAAAAATTACCATTTGTTATTTTTCAATGCAAGACTGTGGCTTATTTAAGTAACCACAAACAGAGGTGGAATTGTATTAAATGGTTTAGACATCGGGATCGACATGCCTTTCATATCTCGATACGGATACGGATACGTATACTTATACGGATACGTCAGATAGAACAATCTCTAATGTTAGCTATGGCGTATATATAGTTTCATTGTAAGGAAAAAATGAGGTTAAAATGGCGCAGACATATTTTTTGAAAATATGGTTAGAGTATGTCAAGATTGATATTAGCTTACTAATTGTTTATTTTAACGTACATAAACCCTCTGCTCACTCATATAATTGTTGCTTGAACCTTTATGAAATGTATTTTATAAGTAAAATACAAACAGTTATTTCAAAGTTTGCGGGGCAAAATTGGACAAAAAAGACACTTCAACTTGGCAAATCTATAAAGGAATAATAGACATTTATGTTATTAAGAGTTATCTCTCTTATCAGAGTATCAATGAACCTTAAATACTCAGACCCAGAAAAAGTAAAATGATTTTTTTGCATGTATTCGCAAATTTGAAGTTTCTAATTGGTCATTAAATAAGTGCATAAAAATAATCGCATTTTTTAACTACTAAATTATTTCTTTTGTTAAAAAAAAGAAAAAAAAAGAATGCATCTTGTTAAATGTTTTCTTTAAATCATTTTTCTAAAAGATCTACTCTCAAATAAAAACCAGAAATCTCTGTCGAGACTGAAGCTCTACTGGTTTGTACTTATAGCAAAGGAAGAGAAAAGTACTTAAGCAGTTGGGAATTGGAACTTTACAACAGCAACAAATAGAATAATGGTCCTTGATTACGTCTCTCTATGTTCTTAGTGTAGTCTACTTGCATGCCACATTATGATATAATCAGACAAAAACTGTATTTGGGTTCATCGAAATGAAAAACCTATATACAGAGTTATGTATCTTAGTGTAGTCTAATTGTGTGCCAAGTTATATTGAAATCAGACCAAAACTGTAGGAGGAGTAGCGTTTTGAAACACCGTTCATCGAAATAAAAACCGATACACAGAATTATGTATCTTAGTGTAGTCTACTTGTGTGCCAAGCTATACTGAAATCAGACCAAAACTGTAGGAGTAGCATTTTGAAAAATTGTTTACAGACAGACATACAGACGGACGCCGGACGCATTACTATCGCATAAGCTCTTCTGGTCTCTGACCAGTAGAGCTAAAATATACATAATAATAATTAAAGACAATTGCTAATTTCTCAAATCTTGATAGATATTAAACGGTCCTGATCAATATAAAATATCAGTAAGAAGTGATAAATACTAAATAACTGTCTACCCCTTGCAGTTTCTATTGAGAAATCCTTATGTTTGAAAAAATCCGTTCATAGTTTGTAAACAATTTTTCACAACATACATGTAACCTATTTATACCTCATGCAACAAGTTTTTGACCTGTGTTTAACCCGTTCATCAGTCAGTGTGTCAGTCCTGTAAGCGCAACTCCTCATAAACCGCTCCACACAATTTCGTCAAACTTTGCATATATTTAGGACACAATGTGTAGATGTGCATGTTACCAGGAAATTCAGATCCCTTTTATTTTTCTGGAAATTTTAGTACTTCGACTTTAGGGAGAGCGTGGGGTATGTGAGCTTGCTAACTTTTTCTTTCATTTTTAGCTCTACTGGTCAGAGACCAGAAGAGTTTATCCAATAGTAATGCGTCCGTCGTCCGTCCTTCTGTCTGTCTGTAAACAATTTTTCAAAATGCTACTGCTCCTACAGTTCTGGTCCGATTTCAATATAACTTGGCACACAAGTAGACTACACTAATTCTATGCATCGGTTTTTGATGTCCATAAACGGTGTTGCCGTGGTTACTAAAAATAGAAATTTCTGTGAAATTCTTTCAAAATGCTACTCCTCCTACAGTTTTGGCCCGATTTCAATATAACTTGGCACACAACTAGACTACACTAAGATACATAATTCTCTTCATAGGTTTTTGATTTCGATGAATGGTGTTGCCATGGTTACTAAAAATAGAAATTTCTTTGAAAATGCGACTCCTCCTACAGTTCTAGTCCGATTTCAATAGACTGCACTTAGATACATAATTCTTTGCATCGATTTTTGCTTTCGATGAACGTTGTTGCCATGGTTACTAAAAATAGAAATTTCTGTGAAATTCTTTCCAAATGCTATTCAACCTACAGTTTTGGTCCGATTTCAATTTAACTTGGTACAGACAAGTAGAATATACTAAGATACATAATTCTGTGTATCGGTTTTTATTTTGATGAGTGGCAAGGATCATTTTTCTATTCATTTTTGTTTTAAATTTCCAAGTCCCAACTGCTACTTCCTCTTCCTTTGGTTTTAGTATTAACCAGTAGAGCTACTGTCTCGACAGAGACTTCTGGTTAAATATTTTATCGTTTTGAAATGTTTTATTAGTTATTTATATTATGCTGTTATTAAAATCATTTAATCTGTCATGTTTTAGCGCACCTAACTAACAGCTCAGGAGAGCTTTTCTGATCACCGTTGTCCGTCCGACTGTAAACTTTTCACGTGTTCAACTAAAGAACCACTGGACCATTTTTAAACAAATTAGGTACAAGAAATTCACTTTTATAAATAAGGGTACCCACTTCCGCCCCAGCTCGGTGTTGGACTCGAGACCTACGTAATCTGTCTCCTATCAGTACAGAAGCAGCGTGTAAGACTGTCAAAAAAACTTGCTTTCGATGCCGATGGAATTCTCGCGGCGCTGTCCCACACTAAACTGTCATTAAAAGTGTTTTTAACTTCTTTCAAAAAAGGCTTTGGATATATATATAAGGATTCGAAATAGTTGATTTTAGAAATCTGTTGTATGATTTTTTTTTTTATACTACTTGTTTTAGTTGCATGTGTGGTTAAAACCAAGGTTTTTAGCCAAGGATAATTGCATCGTCTCAAGCCACAGTCTAAAATTCGGATACAGCTCTCTCTATCCAGAATCGGAGAGGATCGTACATTTTGGCCGTGGTTTGCGACGATAGGAGAATTGTGGGCACGAATTTTTTAAAGGACTCAGTCTGATTTTTGAGCATCTTCAATGAATTCAGTAACTTGTCCCCTACATTAAAATCTTATTTTACTTGAAAAAGACGTTAATAGTAATCTAACAACCAAGCTATATGATTAACGTGATGACTTTAACTTTTCTATCGTCAACTTCCCTTACTTATGCAGCAGTATACCTTCATCACCTGCATACGGAGTATATATATCTCAGTTGATTCGATACGCAAGAGCATGCTCTACGTATGAACAATTTCTAAAACGAGGTAAATTATTGACAAGCAAGTTTATGAAACAAGAATATCAGCAGCCTCGTTTAAAGTCATCATTTCTTAAGTTCTATGGTCGATACCATGACCTTGTCACCAAATACAATTTATCATTGAGTCTAATGCTAACTGACGTTTTCCATACTAATTGTTAGTCCATTATTCATACACTGAATTGACGACGGATTTTCCCGTTATTTCCCGATCATGACATGAAACACATGGCGGGTGTGACCGGTCGGCAGGGGATGCTCACTCCTCCATGGCACCTGATCCCACATCTGATGTTTCGGAGGTCCGTGTTTGCTCTGCTCCTATATTCTATTGTTTTTGTGGACTTTGAGATTGAATACTGTTAGTTATCTCCATATCCTTCTCCAAATATTTCATTCATACCCTTTTTACCTCATTACTGCAATACTTTCAGTTGCACTATGGAGTGCTTTGTCAACCTGATCCAAACCTAGGACACATGACCTGGGTCAACATATGATAGTATTTTCCACTGTTCGGCCCGTGGTGCCGCCTTTAGTAATTTTAGTGTTTGTCTTTTCACGATTTCGTTTGTTTACAAGTTATATCATCAGCTGTTCGACAGGGTCACCTTTTACATATCGGCAAACACCGTACAATTAAGTAAAAAACAATTATAAAGTTACGGTTAAGTGTTATCATTCAATAATATGTTAATATAAATATCAAATAGTAATTGAGAATACATTTGAAATTTTTTATAAGCATTCATCTTGAACATGTGAAGATAAAGTGCCATCACAAAAAAAAAAAAAATATCCATTTATAAATAGCTAAGGTGTTCCAACATGTATACAGTGTACTGTATGTTCTCTGTGTGTAGATTTGTAGTGATAGCAATTTAAAAGTAAAAAAAATATTCATATCATGATGATTATGACTGACAAATTACATGGAATGACGGTTTCATTTCAAGGTTTTGGAGTATCAAAACAGGATTGAAACTTGTATAATAATAATGAAGTATCAGTCTTTTCTTTGCATTTCTGGAACCCAAACAGAATAGACGGACCAGTATATGATGTTAAAACAAAGAAAGACTAGGGGAAATATAATTCTAGACAATTTATCCACGCGTCTCGCTTCGTCTCGACTTTCGCTGTCCAACCGAGGCTTCTCTTTGATTCCATCTTCCTGCAAACAAGAAATAAATCAGAATCACAGAATTCAGAACAGAGTTATGATGGCTTGATTTTATATTTACGAATAAACTTTTGCGAGAAGCTTTTGTTCTATCAGTTTACGTCTTACTTTTATAATTAGACAATGTACGGATGCTCTTTTACGATATAAATATTAAGCTCAACATTTTATTCAAAGAAAAATTTGGATTTTTTCAAACTACAAATAATTAAGTTATACTTGACGCAAGTGACAACAATCCTACCCTCAACTCCCGGTATTTTCATGTTAGTCCCCCTTCCTAATATATATGACCACTATAAAGATTATCTTATCTTTGATCAATTGTGTACCTTCATACTTGATACAAAGTAAATCGTCAACTCTAAAAGTCGGTGCTTCTCGCAAATTTTCCCTCCCCACATCCTGCACTACACTTTATTAGAGGGAGAATACAATGAACACATGTTAATATTGATAATGTTGTTAATTGTTAAATAAAAAACAAAAATTAATTTTACACTTGACAACTATTTACATGTATATATAATCATCCGTATAACAAAATACTCCATTAAGTAAAGAGTTTAAATTCTTTTGTTAAAAACAAGAGGCCCATGAGCCTTGTAGGTCACCTGAGTATTATGTAACAAATTTCAAACAATTGAATTTGGTTCGTGTTTTAAACCAGGGGCCATGAAATTTACAATTTTGAAAGAGGCACCATTACTTATCATAACTATACACCTAGCAAGCTTACTTTGGATACTTAATATCCAGAGGTAGATAACAGTAACAGAAAATGCACTTTCACTTTAAAACCAATTGTGCACGCCAACTACCCCACATGAGCCACTGACCCTGGGGTCATATATTTCAAAATTATGGAAATTTTATCATAAATTTTATTTCATCTGAAATGGTCGATTAATTCCATAGAGCAGATGTCAACGCATTAATTAATTTCAAGAATATGTAACCCTCCCCCTTCTTTCACCATGACCCAGGGGCTCTGAAATCAATCATTTTGGAAGGAGCGCCTTTCTTTATCATAAAAATGTTCTTTGATCATTGGCATTATACAAAGGAGCAAAGGAAAAGATTTTTAAAGCATTCATGCATTTTCACTTTATAATTACAAGACCTCCTCCCTATTACCAGAACTCCTGACCCAGGGTCCCTGAGGCATTCTTGATCATCATAACTATGTACATAATTTATTGGTTTAATACCCTAGAGCAGAAATTTTGAAAGAATTTATGCATTTTCTCTATATAATTAATAGAGACCCGCCCTAACACCAGAGCCTGGTGCCATGAAAATTCACAATTTAGGAAGAGGCAGCCTTAATAAACATAACCACGTACTTGGTTACTTTATTTAATACCCAGAAGCAGGGAAGATTTTCAAAGAAGTAATGCATTTTCACTAAAAAAATATATTATCCCCGCCTTAGTTCTAGAAACCCTGACTTTGGGACCATGCATGCATTTCTCAATTTTGTAAGAAGGCGCAGTGCTGATTACAGTCGTGCCAACAGTTTGACTGCTTGATGTCCTGGAGTAAAGAACAAGATCTTTTAAAATTGCATTAATTTTAGTGGGTTTGGCCCCATCCCTCAGGCCCCAGGCGGACAGGGAACTTTAAATTCACAATTTTTGTTCCCCTTTACCCATAGATGCTTTATGTCAAAATTGGTTGTGTGGTTGCAGAAAAATTAGCTGAGAATGTTCAAATAATAACACAAGATCGCAATATGTCGAGTAAGGTTACTCAGGTGACCTAATAAAACGGGAAAATGTACATGTGCAAGATATCAATCATTCGCAAGGTATATTTTACCTTTCTCTTCATTAGAAAAGAAATTCAGAATTGAATTTTAGAAATTTCATCAGAGTTTGAACTGCGCGAGTTCATGATGTCATTTCATGTGTTGTCGTGAAGAATTTTAAGCACATAAAAAATGCTATCAAGTTTACTGAAAACTTCAGTCAATAAAAAACATACGTAATAATAATAATGCTATCATTATAGGTTGACGTATTTTTAAAGTAATAATGGTATTATGTATTTTTTTTAAAATTGACTGACAATTATTTATGTTAAGTTGGTAGGCATGCATGCTTACTGATAACAAGAGGCCCATGGGCCTTAAAGGTCACCTGAGCATCATGCAACAACTTTCAAATGATTGAATTTGGTTCAATAGACGTTTTGAGCTAGATGCTATGGCATTCACAAATTTTAAAGAAGTACCAATTCTTATCATAACTATACACATCGCAATTGCTCAGTTTGGTTTCTTAATACCCATAGGCAGGATAGGAAAACAAAAAATGCATTTCAACTAATCAGTTATATTCAGAATTAATCAGTAGTGTCCCTACCACACATGAACCCCTGACCCTAGGTCCACACATTGCACTATTTTTGAAAAGGCACACTTGCTTATCAAAAACGTTTGATTAATACCAAGGGGCAGATTTCAAACAAACAATTCATTTTCAGTATATCAGTAGAGCCCCCCCCCCCACTCCCCACTATGGTACCCCTGGGGCCTTGAAATTCACAATTCTGGAAGAAGAGCCCTTGCTCAACATAACTACATAGGTAGTTCATCTGCTTATTACCCAGGAGCAGAGAACAAGACCTCCAAAGATGTAATGCATTTTCACAAAATAATCATTATAGAGCCCTGCCCTAACACCAGAACTCTAGACCCTGGGGCCATTAAAATCACAATTTTGGTAGAGGCATTTTTGCTCATCATAACTATTACTTAGTTTATGTAATACCTACATGTAGGAGCAGAGAAGAAGATTTTCAAAGAATTAATGCTTTTTCACCATATGATCCATAGAGCCCCACCCTAACACCAGAACTCCTGACCCTGGGGCCATTCACAATCTTGATAGAGGCTCTCTTGTTCATCATAACTATGTACTTAGTTTATTTAATACTCAGGAGTAGAGAAGAAGATTTTCAAAGAATTAATGCAATTTCGCTACAGAATCCATAGAGCACCGCCCTAACACCAGAACCCCTGACTCTTGGGCCATAAAGTTCACAATTTTGGTAGAGGTATCAACTATGTGCATAGTTAGTTTATTTAGTACCCAAAACCAGAAAAGAATTTCAAAGAATTAATGCATTTTCACTATATTTAATTAATAGAGACCCACTCTAACACCAGAACTCTGACCCTGGGGTCATAAAATTCACAATTGTGGTAGGGGCTTTCTTGCTCATCATAACTATGTACTTAGTTAGTTTATTTAATAGTCAGGAGCAGAAAAGAAGATTTTCAAAGAATTAATGCATTTTCACCATATAATCCATAGAGCCCCACCCTAACACCAGAACCCCTGACCCTTGGGCCATGAAATTCACAAATTTGGTAGAGGCACTCTTGTTCATCATAACTTTGTACTTAGTTTATGTAATACCCAGGAGCAGAAAAAAAGATTTTCAAAGAAATAATGCATTTCCACTATACAGTCTTTATAGCCCCACCCTAGCACCAGAACTCCTGACCCTGGGGCCATGAATTTCACAATTTTGGTAGAAGACTTGATGCTCATTTCATTCATGACAACAGTTACACTGCTTGTTGTCTAGAAGTAAAAAAGATTTTTAAAGATTTCATTTATTTTTGTGGTTTTGGCCCCACCCCTCAGGCTCCAAGCTGGCGGGGACGATGAAATTCACAGTTTTTGTTCCCCTTTACCCATAGATGCTTTATGCCAAATTTGGTTTAGATTGGTTCAGTGGTTTCAGAGAAGAAGCTGAAAATGTTCAAAAGTTTACACACGATGCACAACACACGTCGCACGACGACGGACGAAAACGGATAGCAATAAGTCACCTGAGTGACTCAGGAGATCTAAAAATTTGGAATGAAACATATGGAGATAATGAACCGTATTCAATATCGATCAGAAGTCCGTAAAACAATACAAAATAGGAGTAGAGCCAACACGGACCTCCAAAACATGAGTTGGGATCAGGTGCCATGGAGGAGTAATCATCCTCTGCCGACCGGTCACTCCCGCCTTGTGCTCAGTATCATAGAAAAGATCCTTTGAAACCCCCACTTTAACGATCAATTATATTTTATATCAGATCTCCACGGTTTGAAGATTTATCACAAATATTTAATTACAGTTTTATAAAACGGCATACACACGCCAAAAACGGCAAAATTGAAAAAATAGACTTGAACCGACATTAAATTTATAGATTTACTGCAAAACCAAACTTCTTTTTCATAATGTTTCAATCACAGAGCTGGTCTTTGCATTCCGCAGGGGTCTCTAGCCCGCGACGTAAGGAATTATTCCTTGCTTTGTTAAACTAGAACGAAACGCTTTAAGCACTGCGCTATGCAATTTAATAGAAAAATATTTTTTTCTAAACAAAAATCCTCTACAAGACATACTGTACCTTTCCGTGCAGAAGAAGAGGTAATTCCCTTACAGAAGACTTCCTTCGTTGTTGAACCCTTGCCTTTACATTTACATAGGAGAATTCGATCAAAGCAGCAAAAACAAACACTAAACATGTTGCCATCCAGACGTCTATAGCTTTGATGTAAGATACACGTGGAAGTGTGGCACGTGCTCCAGAACTTTGTGTTGTCATTGTAAGAATTGTCAACAAACCCAAGGAAATTCGGGCTGGAATTGCGTCAATGTTCAGCCAAAATGACACCCATGACAAGCAGACGATAAGAAGACTTGGAATATACACTTGTGTAATATAATATCCGTATGCACGGCTCATCTCGATATCAATTCCCAAGCAAGTAAAAGAAACTGAAAATAAGTATTAACTATATACATGTATAATACCTTTTTTCACACACGGGGGTGATTGGCCACAATGCTCATCCGAATGAACTTAGCCATGTTGCTTTCCCTCCCTTTCAATTTATTTTTTAACCGTCTATACAATATTTTAAACAATTTACATATTTAAATTCTAAGTCCGTCGGTCGAGACTTTAAATTGTGCCCCGAGTAAAGGATTACACCCCCCCTTTGGCACGTAAAAGATCGTTTATATGGAGTTCGCAATTGAGTAGGCTCACTGGGGACCGGCAGAGAAACAAAAAAACTTTGGGGGAAAAAAACGGTTATTTAAACGTATAGTGCACCGAAACATGGCTTAAAAAATGGCGACTCGGCGTGACAATCAATCAATTATTGCATTGAAAAAAAAGATCAATATGTAAATCGATATTGTGACCGCACATTTCTTCCGAGCCTTTTTAATAACTAACAATTAATATGAAAGCACATAACGAGACGCTTCATTATTAACCTTAACATGATATGTTTGTGAAACTACCGCCCCCTCCCCTATATAATTGGAATTTTTCTAAGTTCATGGGGCATAACTCTGTCAAAAATGACTCGATCGTACTCAAAACAGAACTCGACTTAGAGATTACATTTCATATGATAAATCAGTATACAAAATTTCATTTAAGTACCGATATTTGCAACCGCTGCGAAGAAAATGTACGGAAACTACAAATAATTGGAATTTTTCCAAGTCCAATGGGCATACCTCTGACCAAAATGGCTCGATCAAACCCCAAACATAACTTAAGTATTTTTATGTGAATTCTTCTTCGAAGGAGGCTCGATCATACCCCAAACAGAACTTAAGCTATAGGTATTTTAATGATAATTCTTCTTCGAAGGTGGGCATAAATATCAATGTGACTTTTATACCCTTATTTATTTTTCTGGAAAAGAGGATACATGTATAATGGGAATTAATGCAAAATCTGTAGTTCCTGATTTAACTCAATCCATGCCCAGGATACAATTCACGCATCGAAGGAATTGTTTATGTTAATTTGATTTAGTGTAACCCTGTAATTGTTAAAATTATTTTTTTTTATTTTGAAAATAAATGCAAAGCCAAAAATGACAATATTTTACTCTCTTAAAATCTATTATCCTTGAATATCATTTTCTGATGAGAAAACGGAAGAGAGTCTGTGGACTTACTAATTTAATACAGTTACAGCACTGTAACAATGGAAAATCCCCAACAAGATTTGAATTTTGACCATGGTAAAGTGATTTATTTTCTTTTTAAAATGAATCAGATTGTGACCTAATTACATGTACACCTTCCATTTTGAAATCTTGAAAATCTGTGAACATATATTTTTCATGGTACACTAAAGTATTACGAAGGGGATATGACAAATCACAGAATTTCCGTTTCTTCGAAAAGTCCCCCCCCCCCCTTATATATATTGGAATACAACACCGACCCTGTTTTAAAGCTTACCTTATCCTTTGGGAATTTTAATTTAACACGGTAACAATAAAACTGAATCCCCTTTACCTGTGGTGTTTTATGATAAAATTGGTTGAAATTTGCGGGGTGTTCTTTATGTGTTTAGATTATATACGGCGGAGGAACAGACTAACTTCAGACAACGTGATCAGAAAAGTTAATAGCTCGGGTGAAGTAAAAACACAAGGGATAGATATTTACCGGAAGAATTACCGTTAGCGTAAGTAATGTCACATGTGTGGTTAGTAATGTGTCCAATTTCGAATTGCGGCAGTGTTAAGTTTGGTCTTTGAACCAGAGGAATGTCATTCCATCGGAATTTCAGAGTATCTGTACTGTATCCATCTGTTAAAAAAAACATTTGAGAAAAAATAAAATTATTCTTTCTTAGTATTATTGTTTTTCTGGTCATTTTTATAGCAAGAAAAATGTCCAATATCTATATTACATTAAAAAAAATTAATTTATCAAGTACATGTAGGGTCGGTTATTACATATGTATGCCAACAGATTGTTTGAAGACTTGATCTTCAAAAACGACATTTTTAATTGCCAATCATGATCATCAAAACCAATCATCTCGTTGTCATCACTTTTTGGATTACTTGCATGTACTTCCTTCATGTTTAAAATAAGAGTTCCATTTTAATTGAAAAAAAACCCAGGTTTTTTTTTCTTTAAAAATCTTGGAGTATGGTTAAACAATGCTTCAGAATATCAAATGCTACCTTTATACTAATTTTTAAGCTATTTTTTTTTTTACACAATCAATTGCCGACGGATTTTTCCGTTACTACCTGATTATGACAAGAAGTACAAGGCGGGTGTGATCGGTGGGCAGGGGATACTCGCTCCTCCGTGGCACCTGATTCCACCTCAAATGTTTCAGAGGTCGGTGAATGCTCTTGTCCAGAAAATTGTTTTTGCTCATTAGTCCTTACAGCTTGAAAACTGTTAGTTATCTCCATATTTTTCAATTGACTAAACTAAATAATGAAGTCATTTGTTTTTGTTGAATGAGAATTGTAATTGTTCTAAAGGTTTATTAACGCTCCGCTTACTCATATTAAATGTTGCTTGAACCTTAATTTTTTTTTCTAAAAGAAATGTATAATTATTATAAGTTAAAAAATACGAACAATTATAGCATAGCTTGCGGGGCAAAATTGCAACTTGGCAAATCTATAAAGGAATAATATACATTTATGTCATTAAGAGTTATCTCTCTTTTCAGAGTATTCATGAAATGATAAAATAAAAATACATTTCTTTTGGAAAATCAACAAAGTTCATGCAACATTTTATATAGTGAGCAGATGGTTTATGAACCTTAAATATACTTACAACTCTCCATCTGTATTGAACATGTCTGTTGATCTAACGGGTATTTGTGAAGGTACATCTGGCAAGAGAATGTCCCTGTCACCCTACAAATTTGTAAAATAAAATTGCAAAAGGAAATGTGATTACATATAAAGCAGAAACATCTGTCACTATTTTCTACATACCTCATGCTGTATACAACCAGGCCGTCTGGGTAAATGTGCATTAGTTTATTTGGAACAGTAACTGAATGGGTATTCGCTTTTTTCTCGTTCTTAATATATAGATCGGGAACCCATACATTGGACATTACACGCGTATCCAACTCGATCTTTGGGAAATCAAAGCGCCCTCTAAATGCCAATCTGTGGTCATGCCATCTCTGACGAATAAAGAAACTCATCTTGAAGTCCTGTAATTCAGTATATAATATTTCATGTTAGGTCATTTCAAGAGTGTTATGGAAGGGCCGATGGGCCGTTTCGCTCATAATCATACTTAAAAATGAGAAAAACCGTAAGACTCATATGAAAAACTTTTCACCGTTAAACTTCTAGGTCTAAACAACAGATTTTTCCCCGAGATTTTTTTTGTCATGTCTTCCTTAAGGCATTTTTGTAAAAATTGATGAAGTAAATACTGCCAGATGGGCCTTTGGTCCATAACATAGTTCTGAGAGACCCTCTAGTCTGCAAGGTTTTACTGTTGGTAATATGTTTCCATTCATGTAATCATAAATTTAAAATTGATTTTTTTTTTTATTTCAACATGAACGCTAAGTATTATAAACCTCAACATTCAGGTAAGATATACATGTATTCTGTGTTTTTATCAACGATTTTTTGCTAAGTATATTCCAACAAAATTGTTTATGCATGAAAAGGTTTTTTTTCATCTAAAATTTATACTATAATTTCTATCACATGCGTGAAAAATAAGCTCGGGTCACATGGATTTATCAGTTGATGTGTTCTGTTCCTTGCTGTTCAACGTCCCTCTTGAGAATTTTCCCTCATATGGAGACGCCACCACTTGCAAGTGGAGAGCTGCAAATTTTGAACTAGGTTTCGGGCCCGAGACGCAAGGATAAACTCCTCACAGCGCGAACCAAGAGCATACGCTCTAACCACTGCGCCTCGCGGGCGACTCTCTATGTGTCAATCGACACAGATCGCTTGCTGTATGATTGAGACTGCCAGTTGAGAGATTTTTGAGTGAACTAATTGATATATGTTTTACTATTAATTATTCAAGATTCAAGACAAAATTGTTTTTAAACGGTCTTTATTATCATTATACTATAAACCAAACCAAAACATAATATATAACAGGTACGTCTCGAAATAAAAAAAAAATATCGTCCAAGACTAATTCAATCTACAGGAAAAATCTAAAAAACAATTCTTGTAGAGACTGTCCCTACATATATTTTATACATTGTTAAGATTTTAAACATTATTTTGTAGCTGATTGCTAACAAGAGAGAGAAAGAGAGAGAGAGAGAGGGATGAATTACCATCGTACTCGCACTGATAGAGTCTATTCCCAGAATGTAAAGTTGGATGGTGTTAAGAACAGGATCACCTAAAAAATAGAAATGAATCCTGGGTTTATTCACTACTGGACGAAAAAAGTGCTGAGAATCCCAAATTTTACTGATAAAGTTTGATAATTACTGATACTGTGCTGTTGTTGCTGATAATTACTGATATTTACGGTTATTTTTACTGTTGTTGCTGATAATTTTAGTTGTTGCTGATAAATACTGATAATTACTGTCGTCTTTTACTGTTGAGTCTGATAAATACTGATAAATACTGTTGAGGTACTGTCGTTGCTGAGAATTGCTGATAATTACTGTTGAGGTACTGTCGATGCTGAGATTTACTGATAATTACTGTGGTCATTGTTTTAAACCTGGGAATGGATTAAAATAGCCTGAGAAATGATTATTTGTTTTTTTTTTAAAGTATTTTAACAAATTCATTACAGTCAATTACAAAATAAATTATTCTAAATAAATAAGTCACGTTTTATTAATTTTTTTTCAGTTTTCAGCTATTACCGGTAATTTCATTATAATTATTTTTAGACCATAATGTTAACATAAGCATAAATGTTTATGTTTTTTCTTTAAATTTCTCCTTACACGTAGATGACATTATCTGAGGAAAATTATTCTGTTGTATTTGTTGTGGTTTTTCTTCCCAAGTACTTTTTTAAAAAGTTTAATATTTGTTCATAAAGGTTAAAAAAAATCTCATCTCATATTTTTTCTCACATGTAAAGCTTTTTGTGGGTATCTTTAATACTTCAATACAGTCAATGGTTGTAAATATCAATTTATTTTACCGTGTGGAGAACTGAAAATGCATGAGAGCACATTAAGTTGAAAACACCCACCCCCCTTTTCCATTTACTTTTAAATTAAGCTCTCATTTTAACAAGACAGTATTAAATATTTGTCATAAAATCTAGTCTTGAAGCGTACACTTTGTTATTTTATAGTTATTCTATAGAAGAATGTGACAGGGTTAAATAATTAAATTGAAGCATCTTTAATTATTGTTTTTATATATTATGTAGACAGCGCGCTCTAGTTCTCCGATGTCCTCCCTGCGAATTTTATATCATTGTGTCGCTTTCTAGCTCTCTCTCTCTCTCTTTAAAATTATTTGTAAAGGCTTAAGTATTGTACACTACATGACATAAATCTTATGCAGTGTGATTTTCAGTCAATGAAATACACGTCTTTCTTTAGGGGAATTCTTTTTTCATTGTACAGTTTTAAGTCTATGGGCATATGGCTTCTAATATTATGCGCCACTCCTTAAACATGTTATATGCGGTCAGTCAGTTAAAAAAACAAAATAAAATAAATCGTAACTTGAATTAACTTTTTCCATTAATGCAAACTTTGTGCTTGTTGTTCTGGAACATACATGTCAACCACGTGTAAAAGTTCTACTTTCGTTTTAGTATCGGGTCAATTATTAGTACATTCTGCCATAGGGATATCGTTACGGCTTGCGTTTTTGTAAAATTAGAATTTCGTGCAGAGATTATAAATTTTCTTATTCTATTTTTGTCCGAGACCTTTGTATAAACGAACAGTACATACTTGGTGCCTATTTATTTGATTTTACTTGATTGTAGCACAAAAAGGAGGAGGTGAAATTATACTGTTTACAATTAGGCCTAAGTGATAGCCGATAGGACAAGGTCTGGTTTTTAGTTGTGTGTTTTAAAAGTCATGCAAGTTATGATATTATACTTATCGAATTTTTATATGCATGAATAAAATTATTTTAGAGAATCAATTGCAATAAACCATACAAAATTCAGAACTGAAGCAATTATAACATTTATTCATGAGTGCGATACACAACGTCATGTTTCTGACATTTAAAATCCATACATTTAAAGTTTTTTTTTTTCTCGGATTAAGCGAAGTGGAGTTTCCCTGCATCTGAATTGTGAACAATAGGTGCTAATATTATTTCAAAAAAGTGCTTCACTAATCAATCGTTCTCTTTATATCTATATGATTGTATATTTTGCACACTTTTTTTTATTAAAAAGTGAAGTCAATTTCTCGTCTACGTATTTACCGGTCCCAAACCATCGTTAGCAGAGATTCAGAATTGAAAATTATACATGTGACCACCTCTCCCGGGATATTCTTTTATCTGATAAACAAAATATACTCCCCGGCCTAAATTCCCTTACTTCGCATTGATAGCAACCAACAAATTTTTTTTGTTTAGTTTCTTATTCACGCATGCCTTTTAGACCTACTGTTATGTATTAAATCACCTACATTTTATATGTTTTTGTGGTCTATGTATACTAAAGTAAAATGGTAAAAAGATTCAAATAAATGATTGATTGATTGAAGAAATATGCGTAAATCTAAAAAATAAAATTATTAAATACTGAAGAAAGATAGATCTTTGAGAATTGAAATAATAATTAAAATAAGTCTGTACAACGTACATGATGTACATGTAGATACCCTTTTTTTTATTATAGTACCAAAGTGTTCTATTCTAAATATTTTTTCTATCAATTTTATTCGTTATCAAATTCAATATTACGGAATTTTTTTTTTCGTGCGACCATAAACTTTAAGATTGTTCTAAAGTAGCGAGTACATGTACAGTGTAGGTAGTTTGTTTATTGATAACACCGGTGCCGCAGACGAAGAACAATAGGTAATTAGTGCCCATTGTTACGCTGACCACTACAATTTGCATGGAATATACAAGTTGTACCCCGATCTACCCCGGGGCTGAAGACATGTACACAATACAGCCAAATCACAGGTCGATCACCAATTTCTGATCAATTTAAATCAATTTAAAGGTGTTTTCCTTTCAACTTTTTACCATGCAAAATTAAAATCGATCAATTTGATCATAAACTAATAGTAACATATTAAATTAAGTCTCATTTCAGTTCTTATTTCCCATTCCATAAACTCAAATTAAAAAAAAAATAATGAGATTTCAAAACTGATGAAATAAAAAATGATTTTGTATTTAAATTTTAAGAGACAAACTTAACACATGTACCTTTGCACTAGGGATTCTTAATTAACCTCTAATTTTTAATCAGCTCGCCCCATTTGCCGGTTGCACATGCATACAGTGTGTACTTGTACATATGTACATGTGGAGGAGTTTAATTCTTGGACGATCTACAAACCTCTACATAACATTAAAATAAATGAATAAATAAATAAACTATTAATTAAAATCAGTGCCCACAGATTGAACATATTCAAACCTGTTTTCACCTCTTAGTTACTTTTAAAAGGGATAAAATTTCTAATTTTCGAGCAAATTTTCAAATATTTTGACAAAAAGAGACCAGAAAACTGAACATTTAACAAGATAAATTTAATTGTTTTCGAATTTTTTTTTTCGTGCGACCATAAACTTTAAGATTGTTCTAAAGTAGCGAGTACATGTACAGTGTAGGTAGTTTGTTTATTGATAACACCGGTGCCGCAGACGAAGAACAATAGGTAATTAGTGCCCATTGTTACGCTGACCACTACAATTTGCATGGAATATACAAGTTGTACCCCGATCTACCCCGGGGCTGAAGACATGTACACAATACAGCCAAATCACAGGTCGATCACCAATTTCTGATCAATTTAAATCAATTTAAAGGTGTTTTCCTTTCAACTTTTTACCATGCAAAATTAAAATCGATCAATTTGATCATAAACTAATAGTAACATATTAAATTAAGTCTCATTTCAGTTCTTATTTCCCATTCCATAAACTCAAATTAAAAAAAAAATAATGAGATTTCAAAACTGATGAAATAAAAAATGATTTTGTATTTAAATTTTAAGAGACAAACTTAACACATGTACCTTTGCACTAGGGATTCTTAATTAACCTCTAATTTTTAATCAGCTCGCCCCATTTGCCAGTTGCACATGCATACAGTGTGTACTTGTACATATGTACATGTGGAGGAGTTTAATTCTTGGACGATCTACAAACCTCTACATAACATTAAAATAAATGAATAAATAAATAAACTATTAATTAAAATCAGTGCCCACAGATTGAACATATTCAAACCTGTTTTCACCTCTTAGTTACTTTTAAAAGGGATAAAATTTCTAATTTTCGAGCAAATTTTCAAATATTTTGACAAAAAGAGACCAGAAAACTGAACATTTAACAAGATAAATTTAATTGTTTTCGAGAAAAAAAGGACTTCAAAAACAAAATGTTGTCCAAACTCGACCAGTTGACGTAGTGAAAACGGAACAAATTCAACTTTTCTAACCTGCAGGAAACTTTTCTTTATCCCGATTTTTTTTTTCTATCCATTAAGAACTTTTTTTCTTATTATTGAAAAAAAAGATCATCGATCTCCCTACATCATTTTCTTGGAGTCGGGAAAGGCGGCGATGGATCTTTTTTAAGATAGCATAATTTTCTTTTTATTTACAGTTTATTTTTCAATAAGATCTTATGCAAAAGTAAAATTCCATTTTTTTTCTGCAGTTAATTTTTTTTATTAATTCTATTTCTATATATTCATTCTATTAATAATTCATTTGATTATTGTCAAAATTTTCACAAACGTAATGTAGAAATTGAGATCAGCATACATACACACAGTCATGTAATTTTGTCACAAGCAGGACATTTAAAGAGATATGAAAATTTTGTCATGATAATTCAAGTAAAAGAAAGTAATAATTGAAGGTTTTATAGCCCTCTGTTTTAATTTAAACCAATTACCAGGTTAAAAACAATGACCACAGTAATTATCAGTAAATCTCAGCATCGACAGTACCTCAACAGTAATTATCAGCAATTCTCAGCAACGACAGTACCTCAACAATATTTATCAGTATTTATCAGACTCAACAGTAAAAGACGACAGTAATTATCAGTATTTATCAGAAACAACAAAAAATATCAGCAACAACAGTAAAAAACACAGTAAATATCAGTATTTATCAGCAACAACAGCACAGTATCAGTAATTATCAAACTTTATCAGTAAAATTTGGGATTCTCAGCACTTTTTTCGTCTAGTAGTGATTTAAATGTATAAACTATTGCTGTTTGTACTGCTTAATTAAATTGGTATAACTCACTTAATTATTTCTTTCTAAAATTGTCGGTGTCGTCAAAAAAAATGTAAAAGCCAACTTGACAATTGAAAATGCCCTCATAATTTAAAATGCCTTTGAAATACAGCAGACTAAACTAGTGTAATGGAAATTTGTTAATTAAAAAATTATAAGTATTTCCCTTGATATCTGAAGTGCATCATCTGATTACTGACATGTATGCGTTTTAGAAGAAAAATGATTGAACAACCGTCTGCTACAGTCAAAACTAATGCAACAGAAAATTGCACAAAACTTCAAATTTAGGAGATAGGTTGTTTACGTCCATTAGCTAATTAAAGTTTAGAGAAAAAACAAAACTTAATTTGAATACATCGATATCTTTTTACTGAAAAAATGGATTGATGCATGTTTTGGCAAGATAAGTGCTAATGAAACTTGGCAAATTTCATTTCAATTTATTCTACGACACATCCATTTTAAATTTTATGATTCTGTCGACTTGAGTTTGCTTTAACATGTATGTACACCTATAATGTTCATTGATTTTTATATTAAGTGGAGAAACCACTTTGTGTTGGCTTTATTGCAAAGAACTTGATTTCCTGGTAGAACAGAAATAATTAACGTCACATTCGACAAAAACATTTTATTTAATTCTCCGTGAAATCCCAATGAGTAGAGCAGCTTTGAATAAAATTGCACTTCTGTGATATGTGAACCTCTTCTGTTGTAATCCTGTATTGGAGCTGCAAATTAACTATGTTTTTGTAGAATTAGCCTTGTATAACTAACACTGATCTACTTTTCGTCTTCCTCAGAGAATACTTGTAAATATGTTAATGTTTTTATGTCATAAAATTATGCCAAACCTTTAAGTAACGGGGGCACCCGGGGATCGTAGTCTTCGTTAAGAATGACATCAAAAAACTCGTGTCTGAAAGATAGAAATCAAATGCCAATATTAATACAATGTGATTTTCTCTTTTTACGTGAAGCTGGCATTGATAAAACCAATGCTGCCATTACAATAAAGGATGTAAAGTGTTGACCAGAACTACGATTACGTAGCCTTGGCAATATTGAAAAATAAAATAACAATAATTTACTGAAATCAGATCAACATAGCATTTAAGATGCATACACCCCTGACTTTACATTCTTCTGCTGTAGGTATTAAAAGAGAATATATAAAGTTTTAAAGAAAGTTAAGGTGAAACTAGCATTTCCAGAAAAATGAAGATAAAAAATTATTCAAGATATGGTTCTAATGAAAAACAGTTATTTGTGAAGTTATTAAACGAAAATAGGGGACTATGAATTTTCTCCTTTAGTTTACATTCATTATTAGAACAAAGAAACCTTGCTCTATCAATCTCAAATATGACCAGAGATGGTGTTTTCCAAAACGATTACATTTAATGTTTCCAATATATGAAAAACAATATTATATAATAGTTTATTATATCTCTGAAAATGTAAATATTCGGGTATTGTAGGCGCAGCTCCTACTTTTAATCGTGTTTTCAATAAACAGAAATTTTGACCAGATGATAGAATGAAGCAAAAAAAAAAAAAAAAAAAAACGCCACGAAATTGCCACATGTCTTCCATTGTGTTTATTTATCTGTTGTCGGAGAATGACTGTAAATTCCTTTTCTTGTATGTTCAGCTTTCAAGAAATGTCACAACTGTATACCATTATGATACATAGCATTAATGTGTGTCCAGACGGCCAAGAAAAAGAAAACAGTCTGTTCGTTTGCCAGAATAAATTGCTGCCTTCCAAAATTCTGTAATGTCCAAAAGGTAATACCTTGTTTGAGTCTCAGTTCACTAAAACTACAGTATAGTTGACAAGTCTTTTCTACATATTTCACATTCTCGAGATTTGAAATTCAACTCGAGTGTTCCTTTGTAATGCAAACAATTGAGTCGGGTAAATTAAAGTAAGGAAAATCGGACAGTGCATACTGGAACATGTGGAATTCATAAATAAAATGTGAAGAAAACCGATACTATAATCAATATCACAGATATTTTCTTCCAATTCTTAGATGTCAATGAGCCCTATTTTGAATTTGTAAACTAAAATGAGTGCAACAATGGCCCTGTAAACCAAACTTCCTACTGAATGTTCAAGCATTCCTGTAACGGGCAAAAGTAGTATTTCTAGTGTGATAAAAACAACTCTTTCGGCTTTTTGTTCTTTAGAAGCCAAACGTTTCTAATATACCTGGAAATATCGTGATTTTTCTAATCAACAAACTTTCATAATTATGCTCGCCTTAAATTTGTAGTTGGTATAAAATCAACACCTTTACATTTTGTAAGATGTTCGAATATATTTATTTAGACAGAATGGGTACAGAAATGTGCATGGCATTATACATCTTGGAGTGATTTCATATTTTGCTGAAACTTACCCCGAGGTCGGATAAGAATATCTGTACCATTTCCTTATTTTTTTTTTCAAGAATAATAAGCCGTAACAGAAAATTTGTTGTTAACTTTTTTTCACACATATGGAGACGTCCACGTCCTATTATTGGTACTTATGCCCATTGAGCAGTGGAGGGGGGGGGGTGTCTTTTTTTCCAACACCTACTGCGACAAGGGACCTCGATTAATACGGTCTTATCCGAAGGATCGACCTCATGTTCCACAGTGGGATTCGAACCCGCGACGAAAGGATCAACTCCTTACTTGGCGACTCTAGGGCAGACGCTCTAAACTGCGCCATGCGACAACAGTAATTGTAATCATTTGATCAGTGCCTATAGTAAGTGCAGTTGCTTAATTGCATCTGATTAAACTGTTGACTGTGAAAATAGAGAATCACTGTTCGTATCCATGTCATTCCAAACAAGAGACTTTCAATAAAATTTTCATTCAATCATTCGTGAATAATTATATGGTGTTGATAGGAGCAAACAATACAACCGCTCGTGTATCCATAATTGTATATATCTACATGAAGACATCTATCATTTATGCAAATTATTTCCTTACCACGGTGGGATGAGTGAACTACTAGTAAAACTGTGACTTGAGTGACTAAAGCTAAGTGTACTTTGTCTTTTTTTTTTAAAATGTTTTACCCTGTTTGTTTGTTAATTTGTATGTCCTTACCTCTGACTGACGTTGCTGGATCCCACTACCTGAAGTAAACACACTACCACTAAAAACGGTCTATCCATAGACATGATGCAATCACCTTCAACCAAAGACACACAAAAGTATGTTACAAGTGTAACTTAGCTAGAATTCACCGTACGGTTAACTTTCTTTAATTAAAATGCGGGAAATAAGAATTAACTTCGTCTTTTATGCTATTCTCCTCTCTCTGTTTTCACCTTTAGTAGTACTATCAGAGCGAATCATTGGTTTTCTGCGCATGTTTTATACATAATAAATCTCATAGGGGTGTCCTCACGGTACCATCTAACGATTACTAATTGCCTTTCCAATACATTAGAGATGCTCAGAGAGAGAATATACTTCACATTAATTGCTGATCAGCTTGTAATAAATATGATAAATGATTAATTTATAAAATCTGTCAATAGGTAAATTTTCTCGAGAGTGTTTGGATTATTTAATAAGGTTATTGGCCATTCTATAAGTAAGTGAACCTATGTTAGCTAGCATTACCCGGACTATCCAATGAATCGGTTAATGTCTATTTCAAATTCAATTTTTCATATTAGTATCCAAAACCTGATGATAAGGTGTCATTTACATTTTGCATTAAATATGATTGGCTGTGATAACATGTTTACATTCCTCATGGGGACGTAACTGAAAACTGAATCGTGCATATTCTTTATGTAAAGGTAATAGGCCAAACTCTGTCCATTCTGTGAGAAGAAAGAAAGGTTGTAGGACCGTTAGGTCCAATTATAGTTCTTTTTTCTCACATAATGTACAGTCTGAGGCTTATAACCTACTAAAAACATTTATTTTATAGTGTTCATAATGTACTCTTTTAGACCTTTTTCTCATTCATTGAATTAGGTATGCAATGTGTACTTATTGAACTGTGTCAGGTGAATGTTGTATTTATTTGTGTTGTGTTTTGCAAGAAATGGAGTTCTGCAAAATCACAAATTTTTATGGGGGTTAATTTTTGTTGTTTTAGAGGTATGACGAGACCCACAATTTCATGTCCACCACGAAATGTAAAATGTTACATACGTAACAACTCAACATTCTTTATCCACGAATTCAAATCCCAACGAACCAAGAGGTTTTACTCAAACCACGAAATATGACCCCACGAAAATGTGTGATTTTACAGTATTAAAGGTGCATAGACACAGATTTGAATTTAATATTTTTCTCAAATTTTCTGTATAATATCACGACTTATATATTGCAATAGCATTTCACACAAAAATATATTAAAAATCTTATTTTATCTTAAAGTTATTGAAACTTCAAATTTTGGATGGGTTTGATTGACAAATCCTTGCACTTTCACAAATTTGAAATTGTATTCTTAATACTTATTAAAAGTGGCCATCTTGTTGTGTATTAATGAAATATTCAAATTGTAATCGAGGAAATTCAGAGTAGAAATGTTTGAAAGCAAAACATAAACGCAGTATATTGTCAGTCCGTACAGTTGTGGTGAGCAGACTTTAACAATTGGACACATTCGTAAACCTTAAAAATAACAGAACTCGTGCCATTTTTACAACCAGAAGTCTCTGTCGAGACTGTAGCTCTACTGGTATGTACTTATCAAAAACCATTGCACTATTTTATGTATCTTTGTGTAGTCTACTTGTGTGCCAACTTATTTTGAAATCAAGCTAGAACTGTAGAAGGAGTAGCGTTTTTAAGGAATTTCACAGAAAATTCTATTTTTAGTAACCATGGTAACACCGTTCATCGAAATCAGAAACCGATGCACTATTCTATGTATCTTAGGGTAGTCTACTTGTGTGCCAAGTTATACTGAAATCAGACCAAAACTGTAGAAGGAGTAGCGTTTTTAAAGAATTTCACAGAAAATTCTATTTTTAGTAACCATGGCAACATCGTTCATCGAAATTAAAAACCGATGCACTATTCTATGTATCTTAGTGTAGTCTACTTGTGTGCCAAGTTATATTGAAATCAGACCAAAACTGTAGAAGAAGTAGCGTTTTTAAGGAATTTCACAGAAAAATTCTATTTTTAGTAACCATTACAACATCGTTCATCGAAATTAAAAACCGATGCACTATTCTATGTATCTTAGTGTAGTCTACTTGTGTGCCAAGTTATATTGAAATCAAACTAGAACTGTAGAAGGAGTAGGTTTTTAAGGAATTTCACAGAAAATTCTATTTTTAGTAACCATGGCAACACCGTTCATCGAAATTAAAAACCGATGCACTATTCTATGTATCTTAGTGTAGTCTACTTGTGTGCCAAGTTATATTGAAATCAGACCAAAACTGTAGAAGGAGTAGCGTTTTAAAGGAATTTCACAGAAAATTCTATTTTTAGTAACCATGGCAACACCGTTCATCGAAATCAAAAACCGATGCACTATTTTATGTATCTTAGTGTGGTCTACTAGTTTGCCAAGTTATATTGAAATCAGACCAAAACTGTGGAAGGAGTAGCGTTTTAAAGGAATTTCACAGAAAATTCTATTTTTAGTAACCATGGCAACACTGTTGTGTAATCAAAAACCGATGCACTATTCTATGTATCTTAGTGTAGTTACTTGTGTGCCAAGTAATATTGAAATCAGACTAAAATTGTAGGAGGAGTAGCGTTTTGAAAAATTGTTTACAGACAGACGGACAGACAGACAGACGGACGGACGCCGGACGCATTACTATCGTAAGCTCTTCTGGTCTCTGACCAGTAGAGCTAAAAATTACATGTATGTAAATCTCACGGGTGTGTTCAATTTGCTAAATTATGTACACAATTCTAAGCGCCAACTGACAATACTTGCGAAGGGATTTTGCTTTCGAACATTTCTACTCTGATTATTTTTCTGGATTAAAGTATTAATATTTTCAATTAATAAATGACAAGATTTCCACTTTTTTAAAGTATTAAGACTAACATTCAAAATTGTTAAAGTCCAAGGATGTGTCAATCAAACCCATCCAAAAATTTGAAGTGTCAATAACTTTTAGATTAAACAAATTTTATTTATTTTCAAGTGAAATGCTATTACAATGTCGTGATATTATACAGAAAATATCAACTTCAAATCTGTGTCAATGCACCTTTAAAAGAACAAACTTAAAGGTGATATCACACTGTTGTATTTGAATCTTTTAGCTTATAGGTAGTCCGATCCTCAGGTTCTGAAAATCAGGAATTGAATAATTAAAAATGCTTAATATTAAAAAGTCTCTGAATTATCAGTCATATGTAAAGACCCATAGTAGTTCTTTAAAATTTACCTTAGAAAATCCTATTATATAAAAGAAATCAGTAAATCTTCAATATAATTTCAGGAAATGTGAATAAAAACAATCTTGATGTTTTACTTAATATTTTGAAGTTCAGCTTTTCCCTAGATAATATTTAGCATATTAGCTCCCTCTTCCACCATCCAAGTATATTAAGGTAGTCAGATCCTCAGGTTTATAAAATTAACAGTTAAGTAATCAAAAATACTCACTAAAAAGTATCTCTGAATCCACAAACTTATTTAAATTTATCCACAGTATTTCTTTAAAGTTAGAGATTAAAGTTTATCATATTATATAGGGGATTTTGTCAAATCTCCAATATTTTTTCAGAAAAAGCGAATTGAAGTATCAGCCATGCATTTTCTAATTGCAAATTGATCAACAAATATATTTTAGGTTGAAAAATGATAGGTATCCAGCCATTCAGAATCAGAGAAATTGTCATGATTTTTATACTTAAGGTATTTTTGTCTTCTATTTCTGTCATGTATTCTATAATACATAGTGTAAAAGGCTTTTGCTATCATTGGAAGACACAATAAATCACTTCCTATTTCATATCATGCTAATAAGCAATGGGGTATCTAAGGCTGGATTTAAGAAAATCTTCTTTCTCTAAAACTATATCATATTTTTTCCTTTCAGGGTACAAATGTTAACTTTTATAAGACCTTTTTCAGGTCACCTGAGTCACTCAGGTGACCTTTTGCTATCTATTTTCGTCCATCGTCGTACGTCGTTCGACGTTCGTTGTCAATCGGTCGTAAACTTTTAAACATTTTTAGTTTCTTCTCTGCAACCACTCAACCAATTTCCACCAAATTTTGCATAAAGCATCTATGGGTGAAGTGGAACAAAAATTGAGAATTTCATGGTCCCTGTCCCCCTGGGGCCTGAGGGATGGGGCCAAAACCACTAAAATTAATGCAATCTTTAAAGATCTTCTTTTACCTGGACATCAAGCAGTCAAACTGTTAACATGAATGTCATGACCACTGAGTCCTCTACCAAAATTGTGAAATTCATGGCCCCAGGGTCAGGG